CACCCCCCCACCATCCCCAAACACCTTCGACACTCCTTCTTTCCTCAGGCACAGCCGCAGCAGTGTGTACCGTCTACAGGACCCACCGCAGCGGCTCGCCCACCGAGGCACCTTCCCCCAAAACCGGGCACCTCTTACCCCCACCCACCCACACACACACACACACACACACACCCCACCCCCGAGATGGACAGGTTGTTGGGGAGGGGAGGAATGGGGGAATGTGTTACCTGGCTTCCATCCTTGGCGGAGACGTCAGCCATGTTGTCACGCTGAGCCTGGTGCACTGTGAGGGCCGCCCGTGTCGCACCCCCAGACACCCCGACAATTGACTGCGGACGAGAACAGGAGGGCAATGAACGGAGGGTGGGCGAACGCGCATGTGGCATTGCTCGTCCGTGTCAGGCAAGGATTGGGTGGCGGGGCTGGGGGTGGGGGCGCCTCATGAAACGTCTATGGCATCGCTCGCTGCGCGAGGACTGACTGGACACCCACCCACCCCCCCGCATGGCATTGCTCGCTGTGCAAGGATTGATTATAAATCCCCGTGGCGTTGCTCGCTGTGCGAGGGCTGACAGAAAACGCCCGTGGCATTGCTCACTGTGCGAAGGGAAGCAAGACCCAGCCGTGGCATAGCTTCCCATATCAGGATGACAGGGAACACCCGTGGCATCGCTCGCAGTGGAAGAACTGAATGGAAGCACCCATGGCGTCGCTCATTTGTGCAAGGGAAGGCAGGAAACATCCATGGCATCGCTCACCCATGTGAGGGGAGACAGGAAACATCCATGGCATTGCTCCCACATGCAAGGGTAGGCAGGACCGACCTCTGGCAAGGGGTGATCGGAAACACCTGTGGCATCACTCTCCATACAAGGGAAAGGGCAAGAAGTACCCGTCTCATCGATTACTGAGTGAGGGCTGACTCAAAACATCCATGGCATTGCCCGCAGTTGAGGGGGAGGCACGAAACATCCCTGGCATCACTCGGCCGTACGAGAGGAGGCAGGACCCTGCTGGGGCATCACCCACTGTGCACGCTGAGACAGGACACATCCATGGTGCCTCTCACCATGTGAGGAGAGAAGGCAAGCATCCCTGGCAGCACATGTGACATAGCTTGGCATTTGACAACCGACCGGGCACATCCATGGCATCACTCACTGTGCGAGGGGAGGCAGGTCAAACCCTTTGCTAATGCTCGCTCAGAACGGATGCCCTCCCGTGGTGGCACTTGGGAGGCAAGGGTCCTGGACTTGCCGACAGCCTCGGTCGGTCAGTGGAGATGGCGGAACTACCCTGGCATTGCTCTGTTCATGAGGACCACTGACCACACGGTGGCATTGCTCAGTTAGTAAGTGAACTCTGGTGGCATTGCTCAGTTAGCGAGGATCACCGAAGTCCTGTGGCAACAGTCCGCGAGCGGGAATTGCCGACGACCAGTGGCATTGCTCAGTGAGAGGGGGCGTGTGTCGGCCTCTCGGTGGCGTTGCTCAGTCAGGGTGTTGGCACTTTCAGGTCGCGCTACTCGGAGGGAGAGGCTCAGGGGCATCACTACAACATCAGCGCCAATTGTTCAGCGTCACCCACACCTCGTATGAGGACACAGACCCACCTTAAACACGCCAGAAGTACAGACAATAAGGGTGAAGAAGGAGGGGAAGGCAGGAGCTATGATCTCTATGAAGATTGCCAGGTCATTCAGAATGTCTGCAAATAATCTGCGGAGAGAGAGGAGGAGGAGGTGATACAGAGACAACCCTTCTCCCCACCCCCACATCAAACACTCCCCAGAAAGGGACAGCACGGGGTTAGATACAGAGTAAAGCTCCCTCTACACTGTCCCCCCCATCAAACACTCCCAGGGACAGGGACAGCACGGGGTTAGATACAGAGTAAAGCTCCCTCTACACTGTCCCCCACCATCAAACACTCCCAGGGACAGAGACAGGGACAGCACGGGTTAGGTACAGGGTAAAAAGTTAGTGACCAGAAGCTTTTATAAGCTGGGAACCTAAGGAACACAGTGTTTTGATGAAAAGAGCTCACCTCCATTTCTTTGCGTCACAGTCCAGTGTGCTCCTGAGGGAGAAGAGAACACA